AAAAAAAAAAAAAGCTAAAATGAATAGAGAGAAATACTGTTAACTGACAATACATGGAGGGGATTATAATCATTGTAATGAAACAAAGTATACGATTTGTTAAATGTAAAACTGATGATCTGCCCTGTAGACTTTCACTCAAATCACAATAAAAACTTAAAAAAAAAAAAAAAGATGGCCCTGAAGGTCACTACACATTAGGAATCAGAACATATTTACCACATTTTAAAATAGTAGTAAGCATTTTATTAATGTGAAGAGCTGAAAAACTTGTACACCAAAGGTGACTAAGTTTAAAAACTTCCAAAGAAGAAACTGTATCACATGATTTAATTGTTTAAACTTTATATAAAAGTTATACTATAAATACAAAACTGAACTATTTGAATACTAACAACACCGTTTATACAAAGAAACGTAACAGTAGTAAAATACAAATACATGAGATGCTTATTTTTGGTCCTTTTGCAAAAAAAGAACTAAGTTGGCTTCTTTCTTTCCCTGGCTCCAGGCATAATATATTTAAGATGGTTAACTGCAACATTTTTAGTTGTTATTCTTACGAATCTTCAAATGTCACCAGTCATAATAGCAATGAACTCCTCCTGATTTACTGTGTAAGAAAAAAAAGTGTAACTGTCAGAAATACAAATACTATGTATTAAGAAAATACAACTCCACGCTATACTAAATCTTTTAGATTTTATATTATTCAAAATTCTTAATAAACCAAGACATGGCTTTCTGCTTTTATTGTTCTGCTAATAAGTTAAACATGGAACTTGTGGATATAAACACATAAAATGTGACAAATAGCATATAAATGTGGGTTCATGAGCTGGATTGCAAAGTCTTGTTAGAAGCGCAAGTTTGGTGGTTCCAGCTCACCAGCTGCTCCTCGGAAACCCTATACTGGGTTACTATGGGTTGGAACCAACTCAACAGCACTTAACAACAATAATAACACTAATTGGGGAAAAGATATGAGTTTAAAAAATTCAAACATAGTAATAATATTTGTACATACTTGCTAAAATGGTTAAAGAGTTTGAAAATTTTAATTTCTCAAAGGGTTTATCTAACAATCCTCTTTATAATGTTTACTCTGCTAGTACATTTAGCAAACCCTTTCTTTATAACCTTGAAATTTTACATGCATGTACAATTGTAGAATTCTAAATAATGAAAATATATTAGCATTAGAAAAAAAATGAAAAAATTTTTAAACTTTCATATATTTTTAAAAATCTATTTTAAAGGAAAAAAAATCAGGTAAGCATATCTCAAAAATTATCAATGGCAATGGCAATAAAAAAGATATACTGAATTCATTTTAATTACAAAGGGAATATAGAGGCTAGTGAAGATATAAAGACAGGTAGCATTTATTACTGTTAAAGATGAACAGTTTATCAAAATTACAAATATAGTAAGAACTTAAAAATTATAAACCATAATCTTTAAGACAGCAATCTAGAAGTAGGAGATAGTCTTTATTAAATATAATTTTTAAAAACCAACACACACGCGTGCTTAATATTACTAGTAAAAGTATTCAGAAAAGAATTATTTCTCTTTATAAAACAGATGAGCTCATGAATCCCAAAATTTAATACATACCTTCCAAGGCCAAGTTACAAGTGACAAGTTTGACAATGGTAAAGAACATTGCATTGAGCAATTAGAGACCATGAGGCCAGTCTCAGGGTTGACAAATAAATGCAGTGCTGCATCTCATTTGCTTCATCTAAAAGCACTGAATTACCAAGTAATCTTTAAGGTTGTTTCTAACACTTAAATACTCTAAACACAAATATATTTTAAAAACCCATTGACTGAAACATTTTTAGGTGTCTACCGAATGCCCAATACTGCTGTTGTTGTTGTTAAGTACCGTGGAGTCAATTCCAACTCATAGCAACCTTGCTGCACAGGGTTTCCAAGGCTGTAAATCTTTACGGGAGCAGCATGCCTCATCTTTCTCCCACAGAACTCCTAGTAGTTTCGAACTGCTGACCTTGTGGTTCACAGCCCAATTCGTAACCTCTACGCTACCAGAGCTTCCATAATACTGCTGTACTGAGTGTACTGAGTGTTATGTAATAAACCAAAACAAAACCCAAAGTTTTTAATCTGGAATATCTTTAAATTGAAATGAGGAAGATATTAGGCATTACAAAATTATTGTTAATTTTCCTAGGGGAAACAATAGTTAACATGGTTCTGAAAGGAAATATTCTTGTATGGTGGTGGTGGTGTGCCATCGAGTTGGTTCTGACAGAAAAGATCTTCAGAGGCTTTATATCTTCATGATAGCAGAAAAAGTCTCATCTTTCTCCCACAGAGCAGCTGGTAGATTCGAACTGCTGACCTTGCAGTTAGAAGCTCAACTCATAACGCATCATGCTACCAGGGCTCTTAGTATATGCATGCCAAGTATCATGATATATGCACATTAAGCACTGGATCGCTAACCACAAGGTCAACAGTTCAAACCCACGAGCCTCTCCCTGAAACCCTATACACAGTCGCTATGTGTTGGAACCGAATTGATAGCACGTAACATATTCAAATGGCTCAAATACAAACACATCCACACACGCACATACACACACACACAAACAAGCTCATTTTGAGTCAAAAATTATCCACACTCTGGCTGTAGAATTTTTTTTATTAAACTTTTTATTGTTAATCGGGTGAAAGTTTACAAAGCAGACTATCAGTTTTACATTCTACAGTTCATAAACATTTTGTTCTATCTAGTTGATTGCAATCCCTGCGATGTAAAATCACTTATCCCACTATCTCCTTGTGTCTGTTTCTTCTTTGCATTCCTCCTTCTTTCCTAACCCTCTTTATGTTGTTATGAGTCTTGTCGAGTTGGCTCTATAGTAACTCTGTATAGGGTTTTCAGTAAGTGGGTTATGGGTTTCAACTACCAGCCTTGCAGTTAGCAGTCCACTGCTTTTCCTACAGTGTCACACCAGTGCTCCCTTCTCTTATGCATCATTGTTACCGTTCAGCTGAAAAACTGAGCCAAACTACTAAGTCATTTCCAGACTTGAAGGGTGACTACGGGCCATAGTCTCAGGGTTTCACAAGTCTCTATCTGACCAGTAAACCTGAACTTTATTATGATTTGAGTTTTGATCCACATTTTTCTCTGACTCCATCCAAGACCTTCTAATGTGATCCCTTCCAGAGCAATTGGTAATGGTAGCCAGATACCATATAGTTCTGGTCTCAGGGTCATGGAGGTTGATGTTCATGCTACTACATCCATAAGTATAGGTCAAGTTCATCAAATTGCACCAATTTATACTTGTTTCCTTTATCAAAAAAAAAAAAAAATTATCTTCCTCTAGTCGAATTCTGATCATCAAGCCATTGAGACTAGGTCAAATGGGTACTGTCTGCAAGCCTGGGCATTCTTGTGCATCTCCCCTCACTTCGTATCATCTGAATGCTTCGCTTTCAGTTCTAGCCCTCCATGGCTATGTCCTTGTCCATGGGCTCAGGTGTCCCCAAGTCTCAACACACTTTGGACCAACCAGCCCTTCTTCTTTTCTCTATGGAATGTGGTCGAATTCAGCCCATATCTTCATTGCTGGCTGTAGAATTTTAAATCAACTTTTAGAAAAGACAAATAATCATTTTCAATATAATCTCCTTGCTTTTCAATACACTTGGTCTATCGATCAACAAGCTTTTGTATTCCCTTATTTTAAAATGTTTCAGGCTGAGCTGTGAGCCACAAATGCACCACTGTGTTCACTTCTTCATCAGAGGTGAATCTTCATCCTCAAAGGGCTGTTTTCAGGGAACCAAACAAGTGAAAATCCAATGGGACAAGATCATGACTATAGGCAGGATGCTTTAACACCTGAAAATGAAGTTTTTGCAGAATGTCAGCAGTGTGGGCAGAAGTGTGTAGATATGCATTGCCATGCAAGATCACAACACCCTTGAATAGCAGTCCTCTGCAGTTAATCTGAAGTTTAGACTTCAGCTCCTGAGTGAGCATCTCACTGTAGTGAGCACTGCTGATTGTTGAACCTTTTTCCTGATAGTGTTCAATATCTGGCCCTTGAGAATCCCAGAAAACTGTAAACATCAATTTTCCAGCTGATGGTTGACTTCTGAACTTTTTCTTGGTTGGTGATTGAGGATGTTTCCAATTCCATATTTGGTCATTTACTCTCAGGCTCACAGTGAGGAATACATATCTCGTCATCAGTAACGATTTTGTTAAAGAAACTTTTACCTCCCCTTCAAGTATTGATCCAAATTTTGTTTGGAGATACCCAAACACTTCTGTTTATGATCTTCTACGAGTTGTTTCTTCGATACCTATCTCGCATAAACATTTCAAAACCCAAGCCTGTCATGGATTATTTAATAGGCATAGCCATGGCTGATTTGCAAATGATTTGCCACATAATCCATTCTTGTTCATCTATTCAACATAATCATTTCCCATGCACACTCACTGTTGTCATTAACCATGGACATGGACAACTTGTTTTAATATAACCTGGGTGCAGATTATGTTTGACTCATATGTATGTATGTGTATATATATATGTTGTTGTTGTTGTGGTTATGTGCCGTGGAGTCGGTTCCGACTCATAGCAACCCTG